AGCATATTGAACATTGTGTTAAGGCAGCCCATTAATTTTGGATGGGCTGCCAACCCACAAGAATGGACCAAAAAACAGACGTGCTGCATTTCTCCTGACACATGGTAGTTTGTTGCTGTGCATTGGAGCTGCATTGCCTTAGTGTGTTGGGGTACCATTAAAAAATAATAGCGCCACAACACGCTAAGACATATAACATGCTTTACTGCAACGCAACAGATCGCAAAAGTGTATTTCAACCCTTAAAAATTAATATTATAAAAGGTGCTAAATCAGCTTTCAGGTGACGTTGCGTATTCTTTATGAAAAACTATTTTTTTTTACTGTAGCGCCACACTATAAAACGAGGGCAGACCACAACACGAAAACATAAAACAATTCATTAATGTAGGTTCAATTAATTGTAACATGGAATTTTGGTGTAGTAATTTTTTTTTTTTTACTGTACTGAGTTAAATCTTATTCCTGATTTGACTATATTACACTCCAAGCAATGCATCTTCCAGCAAAACAAGATTCTAAGGCCTCTTTCACACGGACGCCTGTCAGTTCTGATCAGCAGGGGATCCATGCACTGAATCCCCTACTGATCAGAGAAGTTCAGAACGGATGTCACTGTTGTGACATCCATGTCCGTCCATTTTTTTTCCTCTATCTTGCTATGGAAGAAACAAAATTTACTTACCGGACCAATTTTAGGTCTATTGGGAGTCAGCTGTAAATTGACGAGTGTCCGTGTACATCAGATTGCCTCTGATCTGTCATGCCATTTCGTTTTCCGGACCTAGCTGGAGTTGGCGGTAATCATATATAAACGTCCGTATGTTCGTTTAGATCGAGCTGCCCATAGACTCATATTGGCCTTCTGATCAAATCCACCTAAAACAACTCACAGATAGACCTGATCGGACTGCCAATCTGAAAGGACTCTTTTAAATCAATTTCTAATAACATAATTAAAAAAAAATACAGATTACAATATAAATATTTTATAAAATACATAAAAATGTGAAATAGACTTGGCAGCAGCCTCATGCAGTTCCTGTACAGCAGGGCTGGAGTGTGAGAGGGAAAAGCAGTATAAGAAGCCAATCAATTCATGTGCTGATAAGAAACATTCTGAGTAATAGAGGAATTAGCTAATCACTGTGCTGCTTCTGCTGTGGCTGGGGCAGGTCCAGGATGACATGGGCTCGGAGAAAGTTGGTTGAATGATGCTAGCCATCAAAATGAGGGCATCTAGTGGCAGAAGAAATTACTGCAGGTGGAAATCTCTCTCTGGTTTTGTTATTTTATCTTTAATTGGACTTTTTTATCTTATTTTTGGCTGGAGTTCTTCTATAACTAGACACAGACCCACCAAGTTTAACTTTCCAAAAACCCAGTCCTTGTCCAGCAGGTAATAGGGATGCACTTCCTGAGGTTTCCAACCTGTGCTTATAGAAGAAGTATTGGGAGAGTAAAATGTTCTCTTCCCAATACTTAGAGACAGCGTGTGACCCATGCTGGCTCTATAGATTGAGAGCTGAGTGATCACGAACCGCTGGTTGCTCAGCTCACAGTCTTCTCCATGCAGAGAGTGGTGAATGTTGGTCACTGCCCCCGCAGTGATTCTCCCCTCCCTTCTCTGTTCCTCCAGCACTCATTGGAGGAACAGACAGGGGAGGGGGCGGGCACAGCTGGCTCTAGAGAGGCAGAGCCAACTGTCGATCAGGCAGGGGGTGTATCCCGACAATTTTGTTGGGATCTTTCCTGGCTGCAGCACGGCTCTGCGCTGTCAGCAAATAGTGGTCAGAAGCCAGCTAGATGCTGCTGACTTTGGGTCATAGGTCATAGGAGCACATTAGCAAATGTACTCCTGTGACCCAAAAGAGCAGTAAAGTCCCAAAAAAAGATACTAGATTTTGTACACATTGTCGCATTTGGGATAATTGACCTTAAAGTGACATTAAACCCTCAGATTTTTTAACATAAAACAATACTGTAATGTGTGCCTTACTGTAATCCATGGTTGTTTCCCTTCTCTTTGCTGCTCTTCCTTTTAAATCTGTATCTGTTCTCATGCTCTGCAGAACTTCTGTTTTGCTGCAGACTGCCTTGTCTCAGGAATGGATATATGGTGTCTGTGTGTAGGTTTGTAACCTGAGCCAGCACTACAGGAAGAGGCCCTGAGCTGAAAAGGGAAGTTCTCCCCAAGCATGAGAAGACATGAGAATTTAAAAGGAAGAGCAGCACAGAGAAGGGAAACAACCATGGATTACAGTAAGGCACACATTACAGTATTGATTTATGTTAAAAAATCTGAGGGTTTAATGTCACTTTAAGTACACATCAACACATTTTATTGCCCATTGCAAGTAGCAACCTATCCAATAAGTGCTTTCAGTTTCAAACCTTCATTTTCCATTTTTTATAATGGTTACTATGGACAACATAGTCATCTTAATAAAATTAAAAAAAAAAAACTGCTTTTAGTTTATAGCTGAAAAACGTTTTTGTGAAAGTGTGCCATTATTTATGTTTATGATATTATATAATTATTCATTTTCTGGTCACTCAGACCTAATGCAAGGTGAAATGTGATTGGTTGTTAAAAGGTTACTGTGCATCTGTGGTCTGCTTCAGCTTAGTGCCAGGAAAGTGTCCTATTGAGCGATACCGTTCTATAATGAAAAAAGTATTTATCTCATTCTCTACATTTTGTGAGCAATAACCTTCTACAGTATATTGAAAAAAGTCTATCTCATTGTCGTCAAAAAGTCTGAGAATGAGCTACATACTTTTTTCCCTCTTGGAAATGTTTTGTGCCTGAAGAGTTTCACGAGATCCTATCTATTAGAAGTAATTAGTCACTGCAGGTTTAACCCCTTCGTGACTGACGACGTACACTGTACGTCGCCAGCATCGGGGCTGTTTAAACAGACTCCCGGTGACTTTTGCCGCCGGGACTCTGTTTAAACTTGTAGAGCCGACTGTCGGCTTTACAACAGAAGCGATCCTGGCGACTTACCTGTCGCCAGATCGCTTCTGCGTCCCGAAGAAGGGGCCCCCCCCGCCGGACACCCCCGCCGTGCTTCCCGGACTCCGTTGCCCCTCCTACGGGCCCGGGACCGGCGATCTTGGTGTCCGCGGGGACCTGGGGAGGAGGTTGACGAACTTCCGTTCATCGATCCCCTCCCCGTTCTATGGGACCGGGAGCGATGCAGATTGCATCACTTCCGGTCCCTGGGCTGTCAGTTCTGGGCTAGTTGCGCTAATATTGCGCAACAAAAAAATTTGCAACTACCACCATTTTATTCTATAGGGTCTTGGCATTCAGAAAATATATAATGTTGGGGGGTTTTAAGTAATTTTCAGGCCTAAAATGTGGAATATAACATGGGTACAAAAAATGAAAAAAAGGCCTCAGTCATGAAGGGGTTAAATGGGATCCTTGTATAACTGTCACTGGGTATCAGCTGCTGTAATGCAGATCTGTAGACTGCAAGCAGCGCAAGGATGCGTGTGTTCTAACCATTGAGTGTACCATCTGCTACACAGCCTCCTCTGGCTTTCCCGCTGCACTAAACAAAAGACCCATCTTTTCAGCTTACACCTATCAACCATTGCTGCTATTAACTCTTATACTCCCATTAAGACCAAAGCTTCCCTAACCTCAATAACCAAACTCAATAGCCTTCTTCATCCCCAGATGCCTTGGCATAGCTTGCGTTTTTGTGACATCATCCTAAAGACATGACAGCAGCCGAAGTAATGGGTACGCAAACAAGGTAGTAGCATGCCTCAGGCACTGCATTGGTTAAGGCATTGTCTTTCATATTGGCTTGCCATAGCTAGATGGGCAATGCCAGAAAAGTCTGACCTTGGGCTATTGACCTCATTTACATCTTTTTTAGCCAGACCTGTTTTCATCCTGAAACAGCTCTCATTTAAGCTGAGTACCTGAAGAACTGTGCACTCTGCATTAGCAAACCCTGGTAATACAGAAGGTCTATTACTCATCTAAAGACAAGGGTAGTGTATTATAAATACCACATGGCTTATATGTGACCCATTTCTGTCTCGTTAGCACTGATACTGTGGGAGTATGCAGCTGTGGTGTTGGGCAATAATTGCATACTCTTTTTTTTTTTTTGCACCACTTGCTGTTATCTGCGTCAATAAACAAGTCACAGTTACCAAAAAGAAGTCACGAGGGGGTCTCCATTTGTGACAAGCAGGTAGAAGTAGAGTTTTCTCAGTCGAACTATCCATCTGCCATGGATAAAGACAGATGGGCACATATCAAAGCTTTCTCAAGCTCCAATTGGGCACCTAAATCTTAATGAAGTCGAGCATAGTAAATTAGGCAAGCTACACTTAGGGCATTGTGGTCTAAATATATTGGATACGGAGATCCGAGATTCCAAATTTCGCAATGGAATTATCTTCCAACTTTTTTTCGTAAGTATGGAGACACGAGTTTATATTTTATAAAGCAAGCTATGTGCAAAGTAGCAACCAATGCGATGGTTTTTCATTGCTCTAATCCGATGAAAGGTGAAAGCTACAGATTGCTGCACTTTATACATCATCGCTGTTGTTTTAACCTAGTAAACCCCTTTCCCCTTTTTTTCCTGTAAATCTTATTTTGTAAAAATTATATATACAAAAAAAAAAAACACTTAATATATAGGTTTGATAGTCACAGCACCGCAGCTGTAAACACAACTCAAAAAGCAGTTGTACCCAAAGACCTTTAGCGACACACGTCGACCTCTTAGAAGTTTCAGTGTGTTACAACCCACAAGAATATGTGAAAGATCAATTCTGAAATATCCTACTGCAAGAGAGCCTTCAGCACGTTGCGGCACCGTCTGGTGTAGGATAAACTGGCACAACACAGCCGGTTGTTTGATCTATGTACATGATAAAAACAGATAAGGGAGATAAACCCCGTTCTATAGACAGGAATGATATGGGCAGTGTTTTATAGGCAGAAATAAATGTTAGGTACGTACGGGTCCCATCAAATCTTGTAGCAATGGTATCCAGGAAAGTATTCTGCGGAGCGAGCAGACCTTTCATTGCAGGCATGTTGCCACCACCTTGATACTTTCTCCTCGTTAAGAATCCTTCCGAGATGCTGCATCAGCATTGAGAGGATGTCACAAAGTAGCCAGGACTCCTTCTTCGATTTCTAACACCCCATTCAAAGCAAAGGACGCTTCGAAGGCATCATGTCCTTATTCCGCTGCTAGACAGGCTCGCTAATTAATTTCAGCAGCAATCACAGTAGATAGTGACAGTCATTGTTTTCTTTTATTGTGCCCACTGCCGTGCTCTCTCCATCTCCTCCCGTGTGTATCTCTTTCTATCCCTCTCTCCTCCCATCAGTGTTCTCTCTGTGTCTCTCTTTCCCCCTCCCATATTGAGCTGTCCCCATCATGTACCTGCCTTCTAACTCACATGGTCCCCTGACTCTCTGCCGTTTACCACTGCCTCCCTCCTCCTGTTTACCAACACACCTTCGTCTTTAGAACCCATTCTCTTTCTCTGCATCTATTCAGCTATTTGTTTTCTCTCAAGCTGTCTCTTTATGTTAATCAATAATACCCGAAGTTTGATGTGAATAACCGTAATCAAACTTACTCTAGCACACTTGGATAACAGCATTGTATAACCTCTTTATGGCAGTTATTGTTTTAAAATGCAGCGAGATTTAAAAAGAAGGGTGAAAAAAAAACAGTTATTTTTCTTTCAGCTGTCCTACTGCTATATTAAACCTGGTTGAAGGAATAGAATGCAAGAAAAAAAGCGCATGATTTTCACAATTTTTTTCAACGTTTAGAAAAAAAACACAACGAAATGCCATTCAAAAGATGTAGAAAAGATCTCCAGGCAAAATGTTTAGTATCATTTGCAGTGGTGTTACCCCTGTACTAAAAGAAATAAGTGCTTGTTTTGGTCTAGGGAGGACAATAAAAAGGTTATACTCATCCACGCGTCGGCTTGCTCTTAAGCTTCCCATACACCTTGCTATCATCAGACGACATTTTTCGTCCGATGGTCGAACCGGCGTACGATTTTCGTACGGTGGCCCCATCCTGCCCAGATTATTGCAAGGTTGGATCAGCGGTAATGAAAAGAAAGCACCTGGATGAATTGCGGTAATCGACCGCACGTATTTTTGTCTGCACATGTGCAGTGTAGATCGTACGGAAACGCCACCTACCTTGCGAAAATCGTAAGATCGACCAAAGTTTTCTAACCTGCTGGTTAGTCAAAGGTCGATCGATTGTACAGTATTTGCGGTTGTACACTGCCGATCAACCTTACGAATATGGGACGAAAACGCGATCGCATACGAAAATCAGACGATATTCGTAAGGTGTATGGGCACCTTTTAGACTGGTCCTTTTAGCCTCTCTCCCCCTCTGCTGCACTGGTCTAAGGTCCATGAGTCATCACGTTTTATACACTGTATCAAATCTGAGGACACTGAGGGACATACGATCGCTGCAGTGGAGGACGAGAGAGGCTGGAGGGAGCACTGTCACAGTCGGCCAGCTCAGAGAATCAGTCGAGTATAACTTTCTTATTTTCCGCCCTCAACCAAAATGAGCAGTTAGCCCTGCAGCGCAGGGTAGCCCCACTGCAAGGGTTAATAAAAATTTTGTCCAGAGTTCTTCTTTAAATGCTACTCATGGATGCAACCATTAATGCCTATAAGTATCAAACCAAAAAAATGGCTTTTCTAGTTTGAAGCTGAACTCCAAGTAAACTGATAAATACATGGCTATTGGCTAACATACATATATGGGATCTGTTGCACCTTCCAAAGGATTTGTATTTCTGTCCAGTCACTCCTGAAATTTACAGAACCCTGCCGGGCAGCACAACCTGATTAATGACCTGACTTTTATCTACTGCAGTTCAAGTGACATTTTAACTCCTGGCAAATAAAAAGCTTTCTGTTGCAGTGGTGCTACCCCCGCACTGCAAGGGTTAAGTGTGTTTTGTCAAGGGGGCTCAAACAATGCTGTTTTAGTTATCTGATCCCGGTGTTCTATCGAAATGGCTAACTCGTCAAAATCTACAATTATGTCACTTCCGGTGAACAGAAAGACAGGAGGAGCTCTGTACATCTGCGGCGCGCATGCGCAGATAACATTTTCACAGTATTAATGGAGTTCTGAAACAGGTGTCAGTGCACATGCGCGCATAATATTCCAGCTATCAGAAGACTTGTCGAGTTTGCCAACTGCTGAGTATTCTGTAAATGCGGCTGTACAGAGCTTCGCCAGTCTTTCTGTTCTGCAGTCTAACGCCATCTCATCCCTCAGTATCCTGACTTCTAGTGCTAGTCAATGGACTTGCATAGGATGTGATGACATCAGTGGTCCTCTTGTTGCCATGGCGCCCTGTGCGGCCGCACTGCTCGCACACCCCTAAGGCCGGCCCTGTCCTTACACCTCCGGAGCGCAGGGGAGAAGAGGCTGCAAGTACCGGTCTAGCAGCCTGGAGAAAGCAGATGGGACAGAGGATCAGTTGATTCATTTTTTGAGCCCCCTTAGACAAAAGTAGCACTTAACCCTTGCAGTGTGGTGGTAGCCCCACTGCAAAGATAAGTTTTTTATTTGCCCGATGTTCTTTAACCACTTCAGGACTAGCTAAAGTATATAAACGGTGTGGTCCAGAGCAGTTATACCACGATACAGCTACTAGGATCATACTTCCAGTCGCTGATTTCCCCTCTAATCACTGAACCGAAGCTGTTTTCTAGCCAAAAAAATTCAGATGTTATAATGTGTGTGTGTGCAAAAATTCAAAAACTGCTCTGTACCTCAAGTGATGAAATAAAAATTCAAAATGTGTGAACGGGCTTCTTTTTTTCTGCTTCTTTTTAAAACAGTGTACTTTTTTAAATGAATGGACTGAAACCAAACCTTAAATTTTTATTGTTGGATACTGAAAGGGGGAGTGTGTAAAACCCCTTTTAGCTATTTTTGCCATCTGTTACATATTGAGAATATTTCCCTTTGCTTCCTGTATGATAGCCACAACAGGAAGTTAGCAAAATCCCTCCAAAGAGAGGGAAATCCCTGGTTGTCAGCAGGGTCACCAGAACTAGTGTCGCCATTGGAGGATTTCCCATCTATTCCTGTTCTGGTGACAAACCAAAGATCAGCAGAACAGTGTGTACACACCCAGAGATTTTCTTTTTTCTGCTTAGATGAGAGATCTGGTTAGTTGAATACCGGATAACAGAGAGTTTACTCAATACAGAACCTTTATCCCAAAGGAAAAAATAAATAAAACTGTTGCTGTAATTATTTCACAAGTGTTAGCTGGAGTTCAAATTGAATTTGTTAGACAAGCTCATCTCAATCTTCTAGTGCATCTAACACTACCCTACCTCCCCGCCGACAATACTGCTGTCCAAGGGTGGCTCCATTGCTCCTCCATAAAGTGGAGCCATCCTAGCACAGCAGTGTTACTGGCTGCATTATTAGGTGAAAATTAAGGGGAAAAAAGTCTAAAAGAAGAAAACTAATGCAGTCACCATGTCCAAGGACTGGTAAGCTGCAATATGCTACATTTTAACTGTGTTACAATAGTATTTCTATGTGATATTTAACATGTTTGACCTAGGCTTATGGCACCCTGTGGTGTTCCCTTCCCCTCTAGTATAAAATCCCACATTTTGGTGGTGAACTTATTGCCAAAAAAGTCAGCATCAAGAAGAGTGTCCTTTCACTAAAAGTAACCTTGTTAATGATTGATGCCATAGTTGAAGCCCATCTTCAGGCAGATAGAAAATACACCATCCCTCCCACCTAGTCACCAATTATTGATTTTCTTCTTACCAGGCTCCTCCCTCATGTCACCTTGAAGTATTTGGGGTCTTTGGAACCAATTGGGTCAATAATTTCATTGTTTTTAAAATTACTGCAGTGATCAGCCAGATACAGTATTAAAGGAGAACTATGAGGGGGGTGCTTTTCACATACCTCATAGTTCTAGCTGACCTGTGACAATCAGACTGTCACAGGTCGGCTCAGTAGATCGGGAGGTGAGCGAACACATAGCGGCGTTCGCTCACCTCTTGATTCCCTGGATTCCCCCCTCCCCGCTCTGATCCGCCAGCGCTTACTGGTGGAACGGTAGGGGTTCCACTCCCCTATTTTATCCAGGTCCTCCTGTAATGTTATAGTGTCTACGGCAGAGAAAGCTTTCTGTAAACACTTCTGTAATTCCTACCAGCTCCTCTTGACTTTTGCAGGTGGAAAGCCACTTCTGAAAGGAGCTGTAAAGTCACAACCTATACTTTCCTGTTATAACATCAGCATTGTAAGAGGAATACATACCAGAGTTGGTTTTAATATTGTGACCGAAGCTTACTTGAAAAAAAACAAAAAACCTTTTATGTAGTGCTGCCTTCCATTTAACGATTACTTTCAACAGCTTCCTGGATTACTAGTGTGCTTGTCATCTCTTTCCCTGCTGCTTAATGTGATGAAATCTCGATATCTCAAGACTACAAAGCGCAACATGCATTGCTTTCAGCAAGCAATGCTGATGTTACATTGTAGAAAGTTCAGACATTGAGTTGTAGTTTAGAAGGCAGGCTCTATGAGAGTTGTAGCATGAGTAAATGCATATTCACAGGGCTGAGTAAAATTGGTTCCCTTCATTGAGGAAGTACATCCTATGGGCTTCTTCAAAAAGTAAGTTTACAAACTTCTACATCAATATGGTTATTAGAAGTGGGATAGAAAGTATGGAAATTCCATATAGAAATACATATTTATTTTTAGTTTTTGACCATGGATATCCTTTAGCCGTCATTCACACAGGTAATGCTCCCGGGAAGGACAGGTGCTGCGTGTGATTTGTAGGCAGCAGCCTGTCCCTCTCTATGGTACTACGCGGCCGTACGCCGCCCTACGCTCACCCGACCTGCATGTCCGTGTTGGTGCGCGCTAACAGGATGGATCCATCTGCCTACACTTCAGACATCCCAACTCTCCTGGACGTTCCGGGAGTCTCCATGCTATTAGATAGCAGCTCCCAGCCGCCCAGGAGAGAAACATTTTCTCTCGGATAGGTTTACTCGGCAGAGTATACCTTTCCCTGCTATCTGGGTTTTTTTTTCTGACACAGTGTTGGTTTTGCTTACAGTTTGAGCTCTGC